TTTTGCAAGCTACGGCCTTGCTGTCTGCGGAACTAGTGCCTTGAAATCGCCAAGGCTGAAGCCCAAACACGCTTAAAATCTAGCAATCTTTTTTTTTGTGAGCAACACGCAGGAAATGTTGCGAGCTAGAGCCCAACCATCCCAGCAAACTAACTCGCAGCAACTTCCGCAGGGAACAGCCGAGCAATCCCTGCAAGCCAACGCGTAGGAATTCTGCAAGCTAGACCGTTCCCACATACGCATAACAACGGAAGTCAGTTCCAAGAGTCCCTGCAAGTAACGCGCTGAAAATTCCGCAAGCTAGAGCCAGGGAGTGCCTGCAAGCTGGTGCCCAGGAATACTTACGAGCTAGTGCCGAGCAATGTGTGCAAGCTAGTCCAATATATTCCTGCAGGCTCACGCGCAGGAACTCCGCAAGCTAGACCCCAACACCTTTCCGCGCAACGCGCTGGAAATTCCATTGATTGAAGCCCACTCGACCTGAAAGATAATGCGGATGAAATGCTGCAAAGCTAGACCCCAACAATGCCTGCAAGCTAACGCGCGAACATTTGTGTGGCTCACGCGCAGCAATTCCTGCAAGCCAAAGTCCACCAATCCTTGCAAGCTAAAATGCAGCAAATTCCGGGGGGAAAGCCCTAATATTCCCAAGCTAACGCGCGGCAACAATCCAATCTAGACCCCATGAATCCTGCAAGCAAGCGCACGAGAAGATGGCTACAGTTGGAGCGCAACCAGCAAACTTGCAAGCTAAGACCCCAACAAATCCCTGCCACACAATGCGCTGAGTTCAAGCTAGATGCCAACAATCCCTGCAAGGTCACAGATGTAAGCACTGCCAACTACGGCCCAAAAATCCCGGCAAGCTAACGCACAGAAGGTTCTGCAAGCTAAAGCCCAATCATCTTCGCAAGCTCATGCGCAGAAAGTTGCACAAGTGAGGCCGCAAGAGCCCCTGCAAGCATGCGCAAAGGAAACTCTGCAAACTGCAAACTAGAGTCCAACAAGCGAGCCCGCCAATTCCTGCAAACAAACACGCAGAACTATCCTGAAGCTACACCCCAAAAAACACAAACAACTAATGCGCAGGAAACTGCAGAAGCCAGAGCTGCTCAATCCGTGCAAGACCCAAGGAATCTCTGCAAGCTACGCCTCAACAACCCCTGCGAGCCAATGCCAAAAAAGGTTTGCGCTGCTGTGACAAAAAACGGCTACAGCCTCCACAAATTTAATGCCAGCAATTCCGTCTTGTCATTTGTACAGGGGTGAAACTTCGACAAGAAGGAACCGTTCGACTGGTCACACAACCCTTCCCAGGAGCCAGCCCAATTCTATAACAAAATGGACGAAGACTGAGATTTAAGTTTGTTTTATTTGGTTGGACCGATGAAATGTGTGCGGAAAACCTGCGCGGCTTTCTCTTCACTTTTTTTCCGCCCGCTTCCCACTGGGAGCTGGGCCGTCCCCTTGCCGCTTCTAGAGCAGGCTCGGACAGCGTGAATTTCTAAGTTTTGCACGAACTTTTGTTTTTGCTTGAACTTTTCAGCATCCGGGCAGACGCAGAAAACGGTGGGCGCAGAACGATCGCTTTCCTGCAATTGGGGCTCAAAATGCCCACCTCTCTCTGCTGAGCTCACATTGAAACTCAGCCCGGCACCGCAATTTTTGAAAACAGCATTCCGGCTTTAGCTCGGTCCGACAGTAGCTGGGTGCGTTGCGCCGTCTCAGCACTGTTTTTTTATTTTTATTCCCCGCGCACGCATAGTGAGATTTGACCTGAGCGTGTTTGAATGTGGGCATAGAACGGTGGTTCCACTTTATGAACCAACTAAAACTCGCAAATCAAAGCCGTTTGCCACATGCTTACTTTTTCTGCACATGTGACCCTGCAGCGTAGTTGTTCAAATCGCGAAAAGACGCGCGTGTGAGAAACCCAAACGCCGCAGAAGAAACGGGAAGAGCGCCCTATCAGGCAATGCGCCCTTCCGATTCATGGATGGGGGCATGCGTAACAGTTGGTTGCTGAAGGAACCATTTTATGAACTTAGTCTTTGAAAGACCCAAGGATGACGAGGGGCCACACAAGCAACCGCAAAAATGAAACTCTTGCAACGCATCATGTCGCGCAGCCGTACGACCCGGACACACCGAAAAAACCAACGAGGAAACACACTTGAACTGACCAGCGCGGCCCAGAAGGATGCCTGGGAAAAAACAAATTGTTCGTCATAACATCGGAGTGCTTGCGCGATAGAACGAACGAATTGCGGCATTCCTCACTGCAAGTTGTTACAGTTATCCTTTTTCCAAGTTGGAACGCGGCGCAACGCCTTGGCACTAGCGTTGCGTGCGCAAGCGCCAGTGTCTGTTTAGGCAGAGCAGCAGCTGCTGGATGGCAGAGCAAAACCCTAGATGCACAGCAAAACCCCAGATAGCAGGAACTGTCAATGTGAGTGAGTGTGTGAGTGAGTTTTGAGTGAGTGAGTGTGAGTGAGTGTAAGTGAATGAGTGTGAGTGAATGGGTGTGAGTGGGTGAGTGTGAGTGAGTAAGTGAGTGAGTGAATGAGTGAGTGTGAGTGAGTGAGAGTGAGTGAGTGTGTGTGTGTGAGTGAGTGAGATGAGTGAGTGAGTGAGTGAGTGAGTGAGTGAGTGAGTGAGTGAGTGAGTGTGAGAGAGAGTGAGTGTGAGTGAATGAGTGTGAGTGAGTGAGTGTGAGTGAGTGGGTGAGTGTGAGTGAGTGTGAGTGAGTGAGTGTGAGTGAGTGTGAGTGAGTGTGAGTGAGTGTGAGTGAGTGTGAGTGTGATTGAGCGAGTGAATGTGTGAGTGACTGAGTGCGAGGAAAGAGGGCGGGGGGAGGAGGAGGAAACGCGGCACGCGGACCGGCATGCGGACGACGAGCGGTAAAAGTAAGAACCCCACACAAAGATGTGGGGAACAAACTTAGATGCGCCGGATTTTTTTTGGTTCCCAGAGCTCTGCTTGCATATTGCTGCCTGGGAGGCCTCTGCGCTGGCACGTGGCCATTGTTTGGGCACCTTGATTGGCTTTTGCTTGCTGGGCCGCCTGTGCTCTGGCTGCTTACGCAGCCTTACGCAGCATGCGCAACTCCACCGACTTACGCGTGCCCTTACGCCTGCTTCCGCAAACCTCACAAAGTGCTTCCGCGACAAAAAGGTACTGCTGCGCCTTTACTTCTCTGTTCATATAGGTTTTTTTTCCCCGCTCATTTGAAGTCCAGGGAAGCCCCTTTTAGGTGTAGTCTGTACTCAGCCTCGCGCCTGTTGAGTACCGCAGCTGGTTTTCAAAATCTCGCTTGCGCTCGTTACGCTGACGCAAAAAGGCAGTCTTGCTTCACGCATGTGACATCACTCCTACTGTTCTGCAGGCGCTTGAGTGTGTCCCCCCGCTGCCAAGGGTCTCCCTTGTTCCTGTGATGCCTTTCTGCTTTGATTTTCCGTTCCTCTCTTTTGGAGTCGGGCTCCGCCATCCCAAACCTCTGCCTAGTACTCCAACTCATCTCCTTCCATCGCCCCTGCATTTTCTTTGTGCTATGGAACCTGTGCTGCGTGTTTTGTGCACACAGTTTCCTAGCTACGAACAGACACCTGCACTCTTAGCCCCGAAGATATTGTTTCTAGCCACGAAAAAAGGCATGCTTAGCCTCGAATTCATGTGAGGTTAGCCGCGAATTGGTTGGGGCACCTTGCTGGCATCACTCAGCTCCCTGCTTTTCTTTCCATACGCGCGAGAAATCATATTTTAGCTTTTGACTTCATGAGTGCCAAAACTCATGTGACACAGCGAGTTTGAAACGGTCTCATGGGTACCCAACTCATGCAATGCAGACACGGTTTCGTGAGTGCCTAACTCATGAGAGAATGGGTGCGTGCGTGAGCGTCTACCACTCTCTTCGGAAGGTTGGGCGCAAGTGTGATTGTCTGTGTCTCTGTGTCTCTGTGTCTCTGTCTCGCTGTGTTTCTGCGTTTCTGTGTCTCTGGGTCTCTGGGTGTCTCTCTGTGTCTCTCTCTCTGTCTCTCTCTCTGTCTCTCTCTCTGTCTCTCTCTCTCTCTAACTGTGTCTCTCTCTGTGTCTCTGTGTTTATTGCGGGAGGGGATTGAAGGCCTTCGAAGTGCATGGCGCTCCAGCCCTGCCTCGTCGCGAAGCGACGGGAACTAATAGGCGATCAACGCACTCACCAGTTGCCGGACAGAGAGAACAAGATTCAACGGTTTTTTGGGACCTGTTCCCTTTGACTACTGGATGTTTGTAGTGGGAACTTGGCGGAAAACTGGTCGGATTAACGGGGGGGCCGCTCACCTCAGTAATCGGGGATCCCAGCTCAAAGGGAGCGCCCCCCAAACTTAGCCCCATTACGTTTTCCCTTGTGGGTCTTCCTGGGTTCCCCCCCCACGAGTGCACTGAATTTGGTCCAAACGGACTATCCTTGGAAGCGCCCCAAACAGCCAAACAGGGGGAGGGGCTCGGGGGAGGGAGGGGCTCTGATACGCGTGCTAATTATGGCCAAAACCCCGCGACCCTGCCTATCAAAAAACAATAGGGTCTTCCCTCATTGTAGCCCTGTTTTGTAAGCTTGTGTCGGAATATGGAGTCGCCTGATAACAGTACAGCCTGAAGGGGTTCACGTATGCCTTCTCTTTGTCCCTGTTTCATTCCTCAAGTGCATCCCCAAAGGTGCTTGAGCAATTGACCAAGTTCGTTGCTCCCCCCATGGCCTCACCAAATCAAGCGCAAACAACCTAGCGCTTTGCCGGTTCCATGCACTCCTTGGTCGTCCAGGGCCCAGGTTTCCAAAGGGCATCCTGTTTCGTTTGGCATTTTTTATGGGGAAACCAACCAGTTCCAACAAAACGATTGGGTGCAGAGGGGCGCTTCATTGGTCAACTCATCCTAAAACTGCAGGAGTGCGGCCACTTTGATCTTGGGCTGCGATGAGGCCAGCGTCCAGCTTATGCAAAGCCTCTAGCACTTCCACCTGACCGCTACCAGCTGCAACATGTGCCTTCATCTTGGGCTGAGACGAGGGCAGCATCAAGCCTATGCAAAGCCTCTAGCACTTCCACCTGACCGCAATCAGCTGCAAAATGTGCCGGAGTCAAGCCATGTTTGTCTTGGGCTGAGACGAGGGCAGCATCAAGCCTATGCAAAGCCTCTAGCACTTCCACCTGACCGCTAGCAGCTGCAAAATGCGCCAGGGTCCGGCCATCTTCATCTTGGGCTGAGACGACGGCAGCATCAAGCTTATGCAAAGCCTCTAGCACTTTCACGTGGCCGCCTGTAGTTGCAAAAAGTGCCAGAGTCCAGCCAGCTTCATCGTGGGCTGAGACGAGGACAGCATCAATGAGGCCAGCATCCAGCTTATGCAAAGCCTCTAGCACTTCCACCTGACCGCTAGCAGCTGCAACATGTGCCGGAGTCCGGTCATCTTCAGCTTGGGCTGAGACGAGGGCAGCATCAAACTTATGCAAAGCCTTTAGCACATCCACCTGACCGATAGCAACTGCAACAAGTGCCGGAGTCAAGCCGTGTTTGTCTTGGGCTGAGACGAGGGCAGCATCAAGCTTATGCAAAGCCTCTAGCACTTCCACCTGACCGCTACCAGCTGCAACAAGTGCCGGAGTCAAGCCATCTTCATCTTGGGCTGAGACAAGGGCAGCATCAAGCTTGTGCAAAGCCTCTAGCACTTCCACCTGCCCTCTACCAGCTGCAACAAGTACCGGAGTCAAGCCATGTTTGTCTTGGACTGAGACGAGGGCAGCATCAAGCTTGTGCAAAGCCTCTAGCACTTCCACCTGACCGCTAGCAGCTGCAACATGTGCCGGAGTCCGGCCATCTTCATCTTGGGCTGAGACGAGGGCAGCGTCAAGCTTATGCAAAGCCTCTAGCACTTCAACCTGACCGCTAGCAGCTGCAACATGTGCCGGAGTCCGGCCATCTTCATCTTGGGCTGAGACGACGGCAGCATCAAGCTTATGCAAAGCCTCTAGCACTTTCACGTGGCCGCCTGTAGTTGCAAAAAGTGCCAGAGTCCAGCCAGCTTCATCGTGGGCTGAGACGAGGACAGCATCAATGAGGCCAGCATCCAGCTTATGCAAAGCCTCTAGCACTTCCACCTGACCGCTACCAGCTGCAACATGCGCCGGGGTCCGACCATCCTTAGTTTGGGCTGAGACAAGGGCAGCATCAAGCTTGCGCAAAGCCTCTAGCACTTCCACCTGACCGCTACCAGCTGCAACATGTGCCGCAGTCCGGCCATCTTCATCTTGGGCTGAGACGAGGGCAGCATCAAGCCTATGCAAAGCCTCTAGCACTTCCACCTGACCGCAATCAGCTGCAAAATGTGCCGGAGTCACGCCATGTGTATCTTGAGCTGAGACGAGGGCAGCATCAAGCTTATGCAAAGCCTCTAGCACTTCCACCTGACCGCTAGCAGCTGCAACATGTGCCAGAGTCCGGCCATCTTCATCTTGGGCTGAGACGAGGGCAGCATCAAGCTTATGCAAAGCCTCTAGCACTTCCACCTGACCGCTAGCCAGCTGCAACATGTGCCGGAGTCCGGCCATCTTCATCTTGGGCTGAGACGAGGGCAGCATCAAGCTTATGCAAAGCCTCTAGCACTCCACCTGACCGATAGCCTGAGTCAAGCGCTTGGCTGACGACAGCTGCGCAGCACCTGACCGCTAGCAGCTGCACATAAGTCTTGCGCATCTTTCACCTGACGCTTGGCAGTCTGCTGAGACGAGGGCAGCATCAAGCTTATGCAAAGCCTCTAGCACTTCCACCTGCCCGCTAGCAGCTGCAACATGCGCCGGAGTCCAGCCATCTTCATCTTGGGCTGAGACGAGGGCAGCATCAAGCTTGCGCAAAGCCTCTAGCACTTCCACCTGACCGCTACCAGCTGCAACATGTGCCGCAGTCCGGCCATCTTCATCTTGGGCTGAGACGAGGGCAGCATCAAGCTTGCGCAAAGCCTCTAGCACTTCCACCTGACCGCTACCAGCTGCAACATGTGCCGCAGTCCGGCCATCTTCATCTTGGGCTGAGACGAGGGCAGCATCAAGCTTGTGCAAAGCCTCTAGCACATCCACCTGACCGATAGCAACTGCAACAAGTGCCGGAGTCCGGCCATCTTCATCTTGGGCTGAGACGAGGGCAGCATCAAGCTTATGCAAAGCCTCTAGCACTTCAACCTGACCGCTAGCAGCTGCAACATGTGCCGGAGTCCGGCCATCTTCATCTTGGGCTGAGACGACGGCAGCATCAAGCTTATGCAAAGCCTCTAGCACTTTCACGTGGCCGCCTGTAGTTGCAAAAAGTGCCAGAGTCCAGCCAGCTTCATCGTGGGCTGAGACGAGGACAGCATCAATGAGGCCAGCGTGCAGCTTATGCAAAGCCTCTAGCACTTCCACCTGACCGCTACCAGCTGCAACATGTGCCGGGGTCCGACCATCCTTAGTTTGGGCTGAGACAAGGGCAGCATCAAGCTTGCGCAAAGCCTCTAGCACTTCCACCTGACCGCTACCAGCTGCAACATGTGCCGCAGTCCGGCCATCTTCATCTTGGGCTGAGACGAGGGCAGCATCAAGCCTATGCAAAGCCTCTAGCACTTCCACCTGACCGCAATCAGCTGCAAAATGTGCCGGAGTCACGCCATGTGTATCTTGAGCTGAGACGAGGGCAGCATCAAGCTTATGCAAAGCCTCTAGCACTTCCACCTGACCGCTAGCAGCTGCAACATGTGCCGGAGTCCGGCCATCTTCATCTTGGGCTGAGACAAGGGCAGCATCAAGCTTATGCAAAGCCTCTAGCACTTCCACCTGCCCTCTACCAGCTGCAACAAGTACCGGAGTCAAGCCATGTTTGTCTTGGGCTGAGACGAGGGCAGCATCAAGCTTATGCAAAGCCTCTAGCACTTCCACCTGACCGCTAGCAGCTGCAACATGTGCCGGAGTCCGGTCATCTTCAGCTTGGGCTGAGACGAGGGCAGCATCAAGCTTATGCAAAGCCTTTAGCACATCCACCTGACCGATAGCAACTGCAACAAGTGCCGGAGTCAAGCCGTGTTTGTCTTGGGCTGAGACGAGGGCAGCATCAAGCTTATGCAAAGCCTCTAGCACTTCCACCTGACCGCTAGCAGCTGCAACATGTGCCGGAGTCCGGCCATCTTCATCTTGGGCTGAGACGAGGGCAGCATCAAGCTTGCGCAAAGCCTCTAGCACTTCCACCTGACCGCTACCAGCTGCAACATGTGCCGCAGTCCGGCCATCTTCATCTTGGGCTGAGACGAGGGCAGCATCAAGCTTATGCAAAGCCTCTAGCACTTCCACCTGCCCTCTACCAGCTGCAACACGCGCCGGAGTCCAGCCATCTTCATCTTGGGCTGAGACGAGGGCAGCATCAAGCTTATGCAAAGCCTCTAGCACTTCCACCTGACCGCATTCAGCTGCACACGTGCCGGAGTCGAGCAGCTGAGACGAAGCATCAAGTGTGCAAAGCGGACCGTCAGCTGCAACATGTGCCGGAGTCGAGGCATTTTAGTTTGGGCTGAGACGAGGGCAGCATCAAGCGTATGCAAAGCCTCTAGCACTTCCCAATGACCGCAATCAGCTGCAAAATGTGCCGGAGTCCAGCCATCTTCATCTTGGGCTGAGACGAGGGCAGCATCAAGCTTATGCAAAGCCTCTAGCACTTCCACCTGACCGCTAGCAGCTGCAACATGTGCCGGAGTCCGGTCAATTTTATCTTGGGCTGAGACGAGGGAATCATCAAGCTTATGCAAAGCCTCTAGCACTTCCCAATGACCGCAATCAGCTGCAAAATGTGCCGGAGTCCAGCCATCTTCATCTTGGGCTGAGACGAGGGCAGCATCAAGCTTATGCAAAGCCTCTAGCGCTTCCACCTGACCGCTACCAGCTGCAACATGTGCCGGAGTCCGGCCATCTTCACCTTGGGCTGAGACGAGGGCAGCATCAAGCTTGCGCAAAGCCCTTAGCACTTCCCCATGACCGCAATCAGCTGCAAAATGTGCCGGAGTCCAGCCATCTTCATCTTGGGCTGAGACGAGGACAGCATCAAGCTTATGCAAAGCCTCTAGCACTTCCACTTGACCGCTACCAGCTGCAAAATGTGCCGGAGTCCGGCCATCTTCATCTTGGGCTGAGACGAGGGCAGCATCCAGCTTATGCAAAGCCTCTAGCACTTCCACCTGACCGCATTCAGCTGCAACACGTGCCGGAGTCGAGCCATCTTCATCTTGGGCTGAGACGAGGGCAGCATCAAGCTTGTGCAAAGCCTCTAGCACTTCCACCTGACCGCTAGCAGCTGCAACATGTGCCGGAGTCCGGTCATCTTCAGCTTGGGCTGAGACGAGGGCAGCATCAAGCTTATGCAAAGCCTTTAGCACATCCACCTGACCGATAGCAGCTGCAACATGTGCCGGAGTCGAGGCATCTTTAGTTTGGGCTGAGACGAGGGCAGCATCAAGCGTATGCAAAGCCTCTAGCACTTCCCAATGACCGCAATCAGCTGCAAAATGTGCCGGAGTCCAGCCATCTTCATCTTGGGCTGAGACGAGGGCAGCATCAAGCTTATGCAAAGCCTCTAGCACTTCCACCTGACCTCTAGCAGCTGCAACATGTGCCGGAGTCCGGTCAATTTTATCTTGGGCTGAGACGAGGGAAGCATCAAGCTTATGCAAAGCCTCTAGCATTTCCCAATGACCGGAATGAGCTGCAAAATGTGCCGCAGTCCGGCCATCTTCATCTTGGGCTGAGACGAGGGCAGCATCAAGCCTATGCAAAGCCTCTAGCACTTCCACCTGACCGCTAGCAGCTGCAACATCTAGCACTTCCCAATGATCGCAATCAGCTGCAAAATGTGCCGCAGTCCGGCCATGTTCATCTTGGGCTGAGACGAGGGCAGCATCAAGCCTATGCAAAGCCTCTAGCACTTCCACCTGACCGTAAACAGCTGCAAAAATTGCCGGAGTCAAGCCATGTTTAGTTTGGGCTGAGACGAGGGCAGCATCAAGCTTGCACAAAGCCTCTAGCACTTCCACCTGACCGTAAACAGCTGCAAAAAATGCCGGAGTCAAGCCATCTTTAGCTTGGGCTGAGACGAGGGCAGCATCCAGCTTATGCAAAGCCTCTAGCACTTCCACCTGACCGTTAGCAGCTGCAACATGTGCCGGAGTCGCGCCACCTTTAGTTTGGGCTGAGACGAGGGCAGCATCAAGCTTATGCAAAGCCTCTAGCACTTCCACCTGACCGCTACCAGCTGCAACGTGTGCCGGAGTCGCGGCACCTTTAGTTTGGGCTGAGACGAGGGCAGCATCAAGCTTATGCAAAGCCTCTAGCACTTCCACCTGACCGCTACCAGCTGCAACATGTGCCGCAGTCCGGCCATCTTCATCTTGGGCTGAGACGAGGGCAGCATCAAGCTTATGCAAAGCCTCTAGCACTTCCACCTGACCGTAAACAGCTGCAAAAATTGCCGGAGTCAAGCCATGTTTAGTTTGGGCTGAGACGAGGGCAGCATCAAGCTTGCACAAAGCCTCTAGCACTTCCACCTGACCGTAAACAGCTGCAAAAAATGCCGGAGTCAAGCCATCTTTAGCTTGGGCTGAGACGAGGGCAGCATCCAGCTTATGCAAAGCCTCTAGCACTTCCACCTGACCGTTAGCAGCTGCAAGATGTGCCGGAGTCCGGCCATGTTTAGCTTGGGCTGAGACGAAGGCAGCATCCAGCTTATGCAAAGCCTCTAGCACTTCCACCTGACCGTTAGCAGCTGCAACATGTGCCGGGGTCCGGCCATCTTTAGTTTGGGCTAAGACGAGGGCAGCATCAAGCTTAAGCAAAGCCTCTAGCACTTCCACCTGACCGCATTCAGCTGCAAGATGCGCCGGGATCTGGCCAAAATCATCTGGGTCTGAGATGAGGTTAGCATCTAAATCGCGCAAAGCAAGCAACACCTGCACGTGACCGCACGAGGCTGCGACATGCGCCGCTGTCATGCCACTTTCATCTTTGGCTGAGAGGAGGTCAGTGCGTAGCTGGTGTAATACTTGCAACATCTTCTTGAACTTGTGTTTGGCGGCAAAGTGCGCTGGAAAACTTTGCAGGCGCTGCTCTTCGGGGACTGTCCAACCAGCGGTTTCTGCCTTCCATATAAACAGGCGGTCATTGAATTGCAAGCGCCAAATGGGCACCCCCAAGGCCTCTGCCATGGCAACTTCTTGCATTTGACCTGGTCCAAGCAGGCCGTCATCTTCAATCACCTGCAACATGACAACGCGTTTGCCCCACCGGCCATCCCCACCCTGAAGATGGTACCTGAAGCTGAAGGCCCAACAATCCCGTGTCTCGGGCTTCCTCCCGGACGCACAGAGACCCAAACACCATCTGCCACACCGCTGGATTGCGCACGTTGATTTCCGGAATTTGTTTGGATTATACACATAGCCGTCGTAGTGTTCAAAATATTTACCAGCCAGCCCGGCTCCAACCGCCCCTGTGAGCTTGGGTGCCTTACGCGCGAAAAGGTCGTCAAAGCGAACACTCAATACCAAGCCGCTCCGCTCTCCACGAGGCTTCTCCCAGGGAAACTCTGGCAATCTCATCGGGGGAATCTCGAACTCGAGGCATGTTGCAGAATCACCATCGGGGCCCTGTATCGACCTTATTCTCCTCCTGTTTTGGCCCAGCATCATGATGCACCGGCTACATGCGGAAACATGGCCCGCGTGGCTGTGAAGCGGATTTGGAAGGGGCCAGCGCTGCTATGCTTTTGCAGCATTGTGATGGCAAATTTGTTTGGATAATTGTGATGTTTGCTCTGGGCTTGAAACTCAGCATGGCGCCAGGGAGAAAGAGCCGAAACCACGAGTTGCCACCTCCCACAACGTGCCGATGCGCAAAACCTGGCTCAACATTAACACGTGCGCAGCACAACCTCTCCACCTCTGAGGAGGCCAACCATCTGCTCCCGCAGGATCTGGCAAAATTCGCCTCGGCCCTCGGCCGAAAGCGTTCAGATCCCTTTCAACAAAGGGATCTACCCTTTCCCCAACCCTAATCCCTTCCCCGCGCCAAAATCAGCCCGGGCCAATTTGTGAGGTCCCAATATGGGGTCCCCGAAGGAGACCTATCAGGATATACCTCAAGATGTACCTGGATCTATTCCGAGAAAGAATGGCCAGGAGAAATAATATATATGGGAGACCTTGTACTTGTACAGGGCCAATGTTTGGTGCAAATGCTATATCTGTAAATACCTTGTTTCCACAAGTCAGCAAGCGCGCTTTCCTCTTTTCACTGATCAAGTCTGTGATTGAAGAAGGCCTTGAGCCAAATGGCCGCAAGGATATAATACATCAATTGCATCATGAGTGGATATGGTGTTTCAAGCAACACAAAACAAGAAACAAGCAGACACAAATTTCTTTCCACTCATGGCATTGCGAATTACTGCCATCGGAGAGATCTATAAGAATCTCTTGGCTCCTATAAGGCCTATCAGCAGAGTTACACTCTGCAGCGCATTGGACAATTGCTGCTGTAGCCATAGGGGTAAGCCGCCTTTTGAATGGCTTCTTGAAATAGCTGTCTGGAAAATGATCTGTACTACTGTACTGGACGTGGTGAGATAAAAATGAAAGGAAAATGACAAACCTAGAATCATGGTGAGAAATTCCGGGGGTCGTCTGACCAATGCCGGAGCGAAAATACGAGAGCATCTACTCGCATGGAAATGAATATCTGCTGCCATGAAAACACATAGGAATGTCCAGTAAAGGTGAATGATTTATCTCCTTCTCTGTTGTTGACGTTCACTGGATTTTTTGTCTGGCTCGGATCTGCTCATGATGGTCACCATAAGAGGATGGTGCCAATCATAGTCGCTGCTGCCCAACAGCATGCACTCGTTGTTGAAGAATTTTGGTCTCTCGCTTGAACTGACCAGATAGTCTATCACGGGTGCGAGCTTCGGGTTTCTCATAGGTTCATTGTTGTCGTCTCGATATTGGCTCTGTGTGCTTGTAGTTGCCCAGTGGAATACATGGGTTACCAGGCAATCGAGTGTTGGACAATCATCCTCAAGCTTCTGCTTCGCGTCGTGATTGAGCGCGATCTGCAGCAAGGATCTGAGGGAAGCATTTGTTTCTGTGGTAATATTGAGGAGGCTATTGGATCCATCCTGCTTCCTGTTGAATGTATTTACGATCTCGTCCGCAACGAGCTGGCAAGCGGAATATCTTGGATGTCCAAACTTCTGTCGCTTGCTGAGAAGATTGCAAGCTGAATTTGCATCTCCTGTGATCACATCTGCACGATACTGCAATCCACGGTACATGAATCTTGTGATGTTCTTAATGCTGGTCTGGAATGCCTTTGCTGCATCGCAGTTGTAATGGTAAACTCCAATAGTTGCGAATGGTAATCCTGCACGGTGAACAATGTCTTTGCTGTAACCGCCTGCAACGTCGTAATCAACAAATGGTTTCTCCGTGTGTCCTCCTTCGCCGAAGTTCAGGTAGACGAGTCGTCCTCCATGGAATGTCTTTACCTGGTCTTGTTCGAGGCTGTGCTGGAAGTCCTTGTATGTAGACATGATCACGTCCTTCTGTGGTGGATATATCAGGAAATCCTCATCGTGATCGGATGTCATGCCGAAATATACACGGAAATATGCTCCCGTCATCACCCATCCTTGGGATTTTCCTAGTGCCAAACGGTGCACCAGGTCAACTCGGGCTGATGAATCTCCTCGAACGAAACAACCAATGCCTTTGGCCTTGCCCTGAGTGAGGACAATGCCTGTGTATCCTGCGTCAATGAAGGCTTGTTGTACTGTGGGATTTAGAATGCCATCTGCCTCTTGCAAGCACAGGATATGCGAAGGGTTATACTTGATCATATTCAGGATAACGGAATCCTTCAGCTCTCCTCTTTTCTTATCGGCATAAATGGGCTGTCTCTCTAGGTTGCCCATGTTCAGCGTCAGAACGTTGAAGGACTTGGTGTTACGCTGTGAAATGGACATGTCATCGGATGTTCTGATTCTTGCTCCTGTCCTTGTGGACTGCATGATCCTGTGAAGAATGCTATGGTAAGCCTTTAGCTTATCCGGATTGTCATAGCTTCTTGATGCCGATTGGAAGCCTGATTGGATATCCGCAGTCAGTCTGCTGCTGGCAGAAGTCTTCCCAAGTTGGATTGTTTGGATCTTCCGGGGTGTAATACTGCTCTTCCATGGTGAGCGCGGATTCCAATGTGCGGAGGCTGGCTGCTTGTATAGATGTAATTCCACGTACAGGAATATAGATAGAGTCTGGTACCTCTGTGTCCTGGGTAAGCTCGTAATTTGCCTTGGCAATGGCCGCCGCAAGTTCCATAGCCAATTCCTTGAGTGTCTTGGCCAATTCATCCCAGTCGATGTTGGTACACTCGGTGTTGGTGATTGCTTCGTTGGGCTCTTCATCGATGTCCAGGTTGTAATCCGTGAATAGTCTGTACCAGGAATGTCCTGTGAAGAATGAAAAATTTGGAGTCTTCGATCCCTTCTCGGACTGGTTATCCTGTGATTGATCTTGGCTGTACCAGTCGCTCTGGGACCAGTCCTTGTCAGTGCGGTGTCTTTTGCCTGAATTCCATTTTCTCCAGTCACTGTATCCCCAGTTTGACCACGGATTGCTGTACTTCTTGTTTTCCGAATATTGCATCTGAACATCTTCTTGTTGATCTTCTTCTGGCGATGAGCTCTTCAGCCATGCCTTCCGGGGCTTCTCCACTGGTTCTGGTACCTTCTTCTTGTTCTTGTCCGCGTCTGCCTTGGATACAAGAAAGGTATATATCTGAGCGGTGTTTTTGATCCTGTGAATGATCTCAGTGACCGCTTCTTCAGTGACCACGATTTTGCCTGAAGATTGTTCGAATTTAGTGCTGGAATCATCATCGCGAATAAGAAAAATAAGGATATATGGCTGGTAGTTCTTGAACTGGCTGAACGGAAAGGAATTAATCTTGCCGGTGTAAATGTAATCAGTGAGGTCCACGAAGTGGTTCTGATTTCGGCCTCGCGATATGCCACGCTGCTGTCCTGATAGAATCTTACCAGACTTGAGAATACCCTTGAGTCCTTCATCGTTAGTCACATGAGCGAATAGGTTCGCCTTGAAATCTGGGAAGCTGAAAATATCATCGGATGCAATGATTGCAGCGCCTGTCAGGTCGGGCATGCTGGATGTGGATGATGAAGCTGCTCGACTCGGTTTACTCTTCACCTTTGGTTTCAGTCCCCTCGGTTTCAATCCTAAGGTTTCTAGGTCTCTGTCAGAAAAATCATCAGTGGGAATCTCTCCACTTCTGAGTGCAGCATCAATGTGCCGTACGTCGTCCTTCTGAGTATTGTACCACCATTCATGCTCTCCCATATCTTCACCAGAGAGGTGTGGTAGTTCAGTCCAGGAACTGGATGAAGGTCGAGGTGGTTCACGGTTCCATACCTCGGCTTCCTCGATCTTCTTCTTGGTGTATGGAGAGTGAGGAATCTCTTGCCTGTCCATCGGGAATGTGTGACCATTTGTAGCTCGGAGGTAAAGAAGCTTCACCGGTCTCTTTTGGAGAACTCCATCCTGAATCTCTTCGCTCTTGTGCCATCTGTCTGAGGTCCTTGGCGGAGGGCTCAGACGCTCGCCTTGGTATATGAGAGCAATTGCAAGTCTTAGCTTGTTCCCATCAAATAGCGAAGATATGAACAGTAGTCCTCTCATGCCAATCCAGGATCTCAACTTCGGGTTGGCCATCAGGATGTTCTGGAACTTCGAGGCATAACTGTCTCCTTCACGCTCAATGGGTTGATGTCGTGAACGTGGTGGTGGATCATGACGAAGGATAGTGACCAACATTCTGGATATCTTGTCCTGCAAATAAAGAATAAGTTCTGAAATCTTCCATACGAAATTGGGATCTTGTTTGAAAACCTGTGCAAGAATATGAACATTCTTCTTGGTCGTGATGATATCAAGATCTCCATTGTAGCTGAATGTGGTGGGGACAATCTTCGGAAGCCACTCACGTGGAGTATGTTTGATCTTCAGTAGTGTCTTGTGAATGTTCTGGACCAGAGTATCAAAGTTCTTGAGTGGATCTGCTCGATCTCCGACATGGTCCCATTTCCTGAAAAACTGTACTCCATGAAGATCATCTGACGTATCTCGATCACGGTCATTCTTGTGCTTGTAGCTGAAATCTGGTCTTTCCTCGCAAATCCATTTGCACTCGACGTAGTATTTCTCTACTTCCAGCAAGTACTCCTTGCGTATTCCGTTGAATGGATGTGTAGAAGGAAATGCAAAGGTGGGTTTTGATGGTGGTGTATTCTTCTGAGCTACTTCCTTGAATGTACGTGGGCCCATTGGCGAATCTGACTGTTCTGGCTGTGGACCCATAGGAGGATCTGGCTGCCTTGGCCTAGTCTCTTCTTCTTCTTCTTCATCTGCCGCAAACTCGTCCGGATCATAGTCAGGTGGATCGGATCTTGACTCTGATGACGATTGTTTCCTCTTAATCGGGCATACATCATCGCTTGAAGCAACTGAATGTGCATAAGGCGATGTGCCTCGAATAAGTCCATGCTTGTTTATACTGACTCCGTCTGACTCTTCTTCCATGTCCTCATCTTCAGGAATATCTACGTCAGGAGGTTCTT